CGCCGACAAATTTCACAAACCGAATTTTCGGAAGCAATGACTCCTTTCGACGAGAAAGAGGTAAATAATAATACCAATGAAAATATTTTATCAACCGACGTACTTCCAAAAATCTCTTCACATAAACAGAATGCGACTGAAATTTTGATTTACTGTCAAAATTTCAATCGCATGAAAAGCCCAGCTAAAATGAAGGAAATCTATCAAAATTTATTATGCTCATCCTTCTCGGTCATTCTGGCAACTGAAACAAGCTGGGACGAAAGCGTGAAAAGTGAAGAAATCTTTGGAAATGCTTTTAATGTATTCAGAGACGACAGAAATTTTCATGCAACTCAGAAGAAGTCAGGCGGTGGAGTCCTTATAGCTCTTTCGGCCAATTTTAACTCAGAAATTATCTTTACACCAAAATTTACAGAATTTGAGCATATTTGGGTGAAATCACACATTGCCGGTGAAACGCACGTGTTCGCCTCAGTGTATTTTCCACCAGACCATGCTCATAAAAGCACTTATGAAGCCTTCTTCCAAAGTGCTGAACAAATTCTATCTGAGCTTCCTCCTGAGGTTAAAGTTCACATCTATGGAGACTTTAATCAACGCCATGCTGACTTCATTCTGGACTCTGAAAATGAATGTATCTTACTCCCAGTCGTTGGGGATAATGAAACATTGCAGTTCATTTTTGACAAAACTGCTAATTTAGGACTGAACCAAATTAACCACATCAAAAATCAACAAAATTGCTATTTGGACTTTTTACTAACGAATATTTATGAAGATTTCTGTGTGACCGAATCATTAAACCCATTGTGGAAAAACGAAGCGTTTCACACAGCAATTGAATATTCTTTATTTGTACACGAATACCAAAGACCCAACGACTGCGAATACGAGGAAGTCTTTGAATACAAATTAGCAGACTACGAAAAAATCAAACATAAATTAAACAGCGTCAATTGGCAAATAATTCTAAGGAATGAAGGAAATGTCGAAACTGCTGTAGACATCTTCTACCAAATTTTATCAGGAATAATTTTGGAAGAAATACCTTTGAAGAAAAAAAGACGCTACAGAAGCACAAAAAATCCAGTCTGGTATAACAGACAAATAAAAAACTTAAAAAATCGAAAACAGAAAGCACATAAACATTACAAAAAACACAATAATAGTGAAAATTTGGCTATCTATTTGGACTTATGCGATCAACTAGATTTAGCCATCAGTAATGCATTTGAAGAATTTAATTCAAAAACTGAACTTGAAATAAAGTCCTGCCCAAAGAACTTCTTTAATTACGTAAAAACCAAATTAAAATCTGACAATTTTCCATCAATAATGCATCTTGACGAACGTGTCGGGGATAGCTCGGAAAAAAATTGTAAGCTTTTTGCAATTTTTTTTCAAGAAATCTATACGACATTTTCCGATGAAGATCGCGACCGCGATTATTTTGCATTTCATCCAGAATTTTCAAGGGACATTGGCGTCAATCAACTTCAAGTGCAGGATATTTTGCAGGCTTTAAAGAATTTAGACGCCTCAAAAGGTCCTGGACCTGACGGAATTCCTCCAGTATTTTTAAAAAGTCTAGCAATGGAACTCACTGCTCCATTGTTTTGGCTTTTTAATATGTCACTGGAATCCGGAACCTTCCCAAAAATATGGAAAAGCTCATTTTTAGTACCTATTTTTAAATCTGGCCGAAAATCTGACGTACGTAATTATCGTGGAATAGCCATTATCTCTTGCATTCCAAAGCTTTTCGAGGCAATTGTAAATGAAAAATTATTTCTTCAAACCAAAAATAGAATTACTGACATGCAACACGGCTTCTTTAAAGGACGTTCGACCTCGACAAATTTACTTGAATTTATAGACTATTCATTAAATGCAATGGATAATGGAAACCACGTAGAAGCTCTCTATACAGACTTTAGCAAGGCATTTGACCGAATTGACATACCAATGCTTCTTTTCAAATTGAAAGAAATTGGAATTGAGCCAGGACTCCTGAAATGGCTTGAATCATATTTAACTAACCGCCAACAAATAATTAAATTCAACGGAAAGAAATCGACCCCAATTCAAGTCACCTCAGGAGTCCCGCAAGGCTCTCATCTGGGACCTCTTCTTTTTATTCTGTACGTAAACGACATTTCCTTCATTCTCAAAAAAATAAAATTGCTAATCTATGCCGACGACATGAAGCTCTTTTTGGAAATAAAAAATGATGAAGACATCAATATATTCCAGAGTGAAATACACATATTCTACACATGGTGTAAAAAAAGCCTATTAGAACTGAATGTAAAAAAATGCAACTTAATATCATTTAGCAGAAAAAGAACACCATCAAACATTTCAATTGCATTAGGAAATCAGAATGTAGAAAAATGTGAAAGAGTCAGGGATTTAGGGATTATCTTAGACTCCAAACTAACTTTCATAGACCATTACAATACAATTATTCACAGGGCAAATAACATGCTAGGCTTTATCAAGCGCTTTTGCTATAACTTTCAGGACCCATACACAATTAAAACACTATATATTGCCTATGTGAGGTCAATACTGGAATATTGCAGCATTGTATGGTCTCCATTTTCAATCACGCACGAAGAAAGATTAGAATCAGTACAAAAGCAATTTCTATTATATGCCCTTCGTAAATTAGGTTGGACATCATTTCCTCTTCCATCATAGGAAGCACGCTGCATGCTTATAAACATACAAACATTAAAAGAGCGTCGTGAATATGCAATGGTTTCGTTTGTAAACGATATCGTTTCGCAGCGCATTAACTCAGCAGAACTTTTATCAAAATTAAATTTTTATGTACCTACTCGACAACTCAGAAATAGAAATTTATTTGCCATAAAACATCATCGCACAAATTATGCAAAATTTGGGCCATTAAATCGCATGATGGCGTCTTACAATCAATACTGCGAAACCATTGACTTTTCAATGTCTCGGCATAAACTAAAACAATATTTTAACTCCATACGGAATCATAACTCGTAGGAAGTAAAAATATAATAGCTGACAATATATTTTTTAATATTCTTAAGAAAAACAAATTTGTATATGTATTTGTACTAGTCTACATCGGTTGATGAAATAAATAAATAAAATTAAAAAAAAATAAAAAGTGCGAGTCAAGTTCTAATTCCATATTAACACTCACATATGCCAGGGGGCGACCCCGGCGTATTGGTAAGCATCCATACCTCTCACGCCAAAGTTACGAGTTCAAATCTCATCCCCGGACAAGTCACGAATGACCCAAGAGCGTTAAAGTTACTGTAATAAAAAAAATAAGATCAAATATACCACAAAGCCTTTATTTGCTCTAAATAAATACAATTGCAGCAGAATGTGTCAAATACACCCATCAATATTGCATTTTTTTTGTAATTGTGATAAATTTCTATTTTCGTGTAGATTTTGATGTTCACCAAGTTCTGAAAAGGTCTGCTCAAACATTTGTGGTTTCTTCATGCCTCCTATCATTTGTGGTTTCTTCGTGTCTCCTAGCATTTGTGGTTTCTTCATGTCTCCTCCATCAAACGATAAAGATTCTCAAAACATTGTTAGTAAACGTTTCTCCCACTGTTGAATCGGACTTTTACCCGATAGGAATTAACTGTAGACACCAGGCATGGCAAATCATTTACATTCATTTCGTGCATTCATTTACATTAATTTGCCTCTAACTTTTTCCATCAACAGAATTCCGTTACATGATTTATGAAATTTTTGTAGGTTTTGATATTAACTACAACTTTTGCCCGGAACTCAAATCTGTACCTCTTATGCATGACGAACTAGAGCGGGCAGAACTTGTTACTATTTTTCAGTGAATGCAATTTACATTCACTGAAAAACATAGGCAAGTTCTGTTCGCCCCAGTTCATCATGCATAAGAGGTACAGATTTGAGTTATCGACAAAAGTTGTAGCTAATATTAAAACCTACAAAAGCTGCATACACCTTTTCATGGAATTCTGTTGATGAAAAAAGTTAGAGGCAAATGAATGTAAATGAATGCACGAAATGAATGTAAATGATTTGCCATGCCTGGTAGACACAGTTGAAGTAGGGATCTTGTGCATGGAAATATCTTTAATTCTCAAAGTTTTGATATAGTTACCCTTTCTTACTCGAATATCTACTGAATTTGTGGAAAGCCACTGATTAAAATTAAAATGTCTTTTTTTAATACATTTAGAGCTGCATTCTTTCAACATAAACAACTGCTATTTTGCTCTATTGAGTTTTTGTTAAAAAGCTGTATGTAGTTCTAAGCGTATTGTTTAACTATTGGTTGATTTGAAGCAATAGGTGTCCATTTTTCCTACTGTTTCTGTCTTTACTGAATTTATCCTACACAGCTAGAAAAAGTAGTGTAAATTTCTGTTCAGTATGATGCACATAAATGGAGCGTCACATATCATATAAGTTTACATTATATATCATGTAAAGTTCTGAGACATTTCATGCAATATAGCAAATATTGTATACAAAAGCCCATTGTTGTAAACAACATTGTTTACAAGTTGCTAGGTTGCGTGAAATGAAATACAAGTTTACGTGAATGAATGTTTACATAACAATTAAAATTCAGAATTTTTATCTGTGTATTCATAAAAAAAATCAGCTTTCAGTATGATTTAACATCATCATAATAGAGAATTTTCTTTGTTATCATTTCACTTGTAATTGATTTAATTCAAATACATTTGTTATTTCACTTGTAACAGTGTGTAAGTCAAATACTAGGTAAATACAACCCCACAGTTTTCAAGATCACAACATGAGAACATGTTAAGCCACAACATCTGAGACACCATTTCACTCGGTAGTTTATAAATTGTATACGCCTGGTAGGAATAACCATGAAACATAGCAGAGATCATTCATTTATAAATCGATTATAATAATTCCACACGCAAGACCAGCTCGATGAATTATGAACGATAATTGAGATATTCGACCTGTAATTTCAGCCACGGCTCTCAGCTGAAGACCACCCAGCGATCATAATCGAAAATTCCTTCGTTGAAAGCTTCACCGCTCGATAAATTTCCGAAACACTTTATCACATACAGACACACATACACACCATCCGTAACAGTTTAATCATACACCAGAGCGAACCTCTCACCGAATTAAACACCAAGGCCAAGAAAAAATATTCAAAATTTATTCCTTCAGGCTTTATCCTTGCCGCTGATCATTGCCTAAATTCACTTTCACTATCACCACACAATGCGCACCGCACTCAATTGACTTTTTTGTTTTCTGTTTTGGTAATTTGATATTTTTCGCGATTCGCTTGAGTTCCGTCGTTCCCTCCCTCTCGGGTTCAGTTGTCGTAATCGCTCAAAACATAAATATTATCCCGACTTTCCGAACCGGCACCGGACTGAAGCGAACGTGATCGCAGATATGTATAAATCATCGTGTCCTTCCCGCCCAGAAGTTGATCGCATACTGACGACAAAAATAAACTTATCCTGAATGGGACGACCGCTGCGTGCTTCATGCTTACACAAACAAGAATCGAACTCATGCGTCCTTGATTTCCCCCGTACTGCGCCTGGATATTATTCTGATGGGTGCATATGTGTGTTGAAAGAGAGAATGCTCGACTACTTTTTCGAAGGGACGTATCAGCTTTTGTAAACAATGCATTTGATCGTCGATTTGGCGTAACTGGTAGCTCACTCACGCATACTAACACCACTATCAGGTAGGGAAAATTTTCCCCTATCTAATGGTACTGTTAGAATGCGTAGGCGAGCTACCAGTTACGCCAAATCGACGATCAAATGCATTGTTTACAAAAGCTGATACGTCCCTTCGAAAAAGTAGTCGAGAATGGTTCATTCTAATGGGCCGGGAGAAGGTGCATACGTAGCATAAATCCAGCAATCATTGCGGGACAAGGAATGAAGATCGGCTGTGTAGAGGGTCGGTGATCGGTTCGACAATCGTCATCGGGTTTTTGTGTTTCTTTTTCGGACCGAGAGAAGAAGGTAGAAAAGTTTCGTTCTGTTTATGGTGGGCAGGCCTGGATTCAGATGGGAATTTTTACATTACAAAGAATCGTTAAGTGATTTTAGGAATCAATTTGCAATTTCGTGTCAATTGCCTCATATACCTTCCCAAACAGCACACTTCCATCACAATAAGATACTGCAATTCGATTGTGACGGGAATAAGTTGCAAACATGCACCACAACAGTTTAGTGACAAGTTTGCTGCTAGGGTTGTCCCTAGTCCACGTCTAACCTGTTTAAAAATTGAGTAAGCCGCGTATATTCGGCCCTCGTTCTACTATCTTTAGTCATTAGAAATCTTATAAATGTACTTGAAGTACGGCTCCGCAAGGCTAACCCAGTTGAGCCATGACAAATAAACGGATTCCACTCAAAATTCATATTAATTGATGGGTCATTTTGTGAAAAGTCGTTTGATCGAATGGAATTTCTCTGTTTTATACGAAACGCTTTGATGCAACATGTGACATCTGTTGATATCGTTTTGTATGGATTATCGGAAATTGATCTCGGTTGAATCAATGAAATCAATTTGATTACTGATTTTGCTTTCGTCATATTCTACTGAATACGGGCCTGGCGTAAATGGTTAGTATTCATGCTTCCCACGCTGAAGGACTTGAGTTCAAATCTCACCGCGGACAGTTATCGATTGACCTGTAACATGTTAAACAGAACAATAAACGTTATACCTGATGACGTCGTGTTTTCTTGTAATCCTTTAATCCTTTCACTTTCACTATTCACTTTTACTATTTACTTTCATTATCGCTTAAAATCTTATTTTGTTTACTACTTGCAGTGTCTAGTCATCTAGTCTATACAAGTTTACGTGAATGAAAAATCACAATTCAAATTCAGAATTTTTATCTGTGTAGTAGTATAGTTATTTATTTAGGTGATAGTGAAAGTGATAAATAGTAGTAGAACGTAATGATGATGATGATGGTCCCACCTCTTACCCCTACAAAGGTTTGAGCTGGACGAGGTTATCTTTAAGATAATTAAATATAAACATTTTAACCAGGTTTGCAAACAAATTCGAGCTGGTTACAATAACAGATATAAGTGTCCTGTTAATAAGGTAATAAGGTAATAATGTAATAAGTAATAAGGCATACAATTATTCTACTAAAAACTCATCAATCAATTTAGATACTAATCGTTCAAGGACCCACAGGTTTAAAATAAAATTTTCAACAGCTTCATCTGCTTTCATTTTAAAAACTCTCTGAGGTAGTAAATGTACATTTTGACTACATAGATGTCACCATAAAAATTGTATGGAGGAAACAAATGTCATGAAATTTACCATAACGTTTTAGAATTCTGATTCTTTGAAGAAATGTCTGCAGAATTTTGATGAGAAAAAAAAATCTAAGGCGAACTCCTACTGAATTCGACTACATTTTCCAGGTAATTTTGAAAAGTTTTTCAATTCGAACTGGTGAACTCGAAGGTAGTTTTGAAGTGATTTTCGGGATTACGAATAGAATTCCAGGTAAGTCTAAAGCAAATCTGAAGGAATTTCAGGAAGAATTCTAAAGGAATTCGCATCAAAGTGAGTTAAGGTGATTCCTTGTAGAGCCCACAAATGGCCACCACGTAGGCTATACATGCACATCCACTTCGAATTTGAAATTACACACATCTCTGAAATTAATGCCCCATTTCACCTGAAATTGCAATTTTATGTACATATGCTGCAGTACAGCAAACGTGGAGTAGCAGTTTCATTTTGGTACGTATCCTAGAAGCAGATATTTGTGTTTATCGGAAAATTCAGCGCTCACCAATTTACGAACGACAACGGCCTCAGACTCATAGATTTAGCCACCTCCAAGAATATGGCCATACGTAGTACCTATTTCCAGCACAGCCTCCCTGGAGACCACCACTACAGACAGAATCACAAATCGACCACGCTTTGATTGATGGAAGACACTTCTCGGATATCATCGACGTCAGGACCTATCGCGCACAAACATCGATTCGGACCACTATCTTGTAATGGTCAAAGTGCGCCAAAGACTTTCCGTTGTCAACAACATATAATACAACGGCGCCGGTGGTGGAGTGGTAAGCGTGATTACCTGTCACCCCAGCAGGCCTGGGTTCAATCCCAGTCGGCGCCGCCGGGATGTTCTGGCATAACATCTCTGATCACGCCTTCCTTCGGATGGGAAGTAAAGCCGTTGGTCCCCGGTTCATGAGTTGATGGGTCGATAGGTAGGGTCCAGGTGTGGGAGCTGCCTTCCTGGCACGTCGGTAGCATTGGTGCTCAGCACGGAAAACAAGATCGACGGAAAACACAACATACAATCTGGAACGACTCAAGCAGGGTTACTTCCACTCACTTGCTAAAAAAAAAAGTTTTTCGAAATTATGAAATCATGAAATAGTATAATGCTAATTAGTGCTTGTAAGTTACAAGAAGAGGTCATGAAGTATATGTTTGACACATAAAATCTGTCAATATTGCATTCAGTGCGTCACAATCAGCGATTTTACGACTCGTGGGTGCTCACTCTGAGTGAACGCTCACGAATCATAAGATCGCTGATTGTGACGCTCTGAAAGCGGAATTGACGCCCTCTTCTTGTTACTTACAAGTACAACATATCATTATAACATCTAATGATTGCATAATTCCGAAAAATATTTTTTATAGCAAGTGAGTGGAAGCAACCCTGGACTCAAGTTACCCGCAAAACCTTAAAGCAGCGCTGCCGGATGAGAGAGAGAGCTGACCGAAGCCTCTCTTGAGGAATGTTGGGATAGTGTCAAGGCAGCCATTAACAGCGCAGCAGAAGGTGCCATTGAGCGGCGCCGGTGGTGTAGTGGTAAGCGTGATTACCTCTCACCCCAGCAGGCCTGGGTTCAATCCCAGTCGGTGCCGCCGAGATATTCTGAAGCATAACATCTCTGATCACGCCTCAGGTGAGTTTGCTGTCCTTGCTTCTGTTTATATCGCTCCACATTTCGAGGGGAACGTTGCTGCAGTATCATCACCCGCGCTGCACTCTTCTCCAAAATCTCTCCTTCCTCGTCAAACCAATCGTTTCGTTCATTCCGTTCCCCAACCCAATGGTACCTTCTTTTTTCCTTTGATCTTGTTTTCCGTACTAAGTACCAATGCTACCAACGCCAGGGAGGCTACTCCCACACCTGGACCCTACCTTTCGACCCATCAACTCATGGACTCAAACTCAACTCATGGAACTCAATTTCTAGATTCTGAGACATAAAAAATATGCAAGGTTAATTGCAAAAATAAATGAAAAATGATGCGTTTTTGATCGACATTGTTTAGGATTCACACTGCGATCATTTAAGAAAATGATCACGATCTTGGATTTGACACATTTTCGAAACACCGGGACATCGCAACTTTTTTGAGAGTTCAGATTTAGTTTTAGGTATTCAGTACTAAGGAAAAATTAAGATGTCTAAGATTCTAAGATTCTGTTTGATTGTTTACATTCAGCTGCTGTCAGCATCGTTAGAATTGTCCAAAACTGTTCAATATCACTTTTAAAAACTCCAAACTTCTCAGGTGAGTGTAACTGTTGTCGGCGGCCTATTTTTCTTCGACAACCTTTCCATTTGATCGGCTTGTTAATCTGCTGTTCTATTATCGGCAACTTGAAATCATTTCAAGAAAAAACTGTAAAAATTTGTTTGCTCAGCCATAAAACCTCATCCAATTGAAGCTGAAGTGAAGTGTTTGAAGTGTTTTGGTAAGAACACTCAATGAAATGACTTTATACATTATTGTTGCTAATAGAGTCAATGGGTGCCGAAGCCAACATGTACCCTATTTGAGATATCGAACTTGAATTTTTACAAAACATACTTTTAAGAGTTGGTTGTAAATGCTATCTAACATGAAGCTTTAGTGTGATAATTTATTAGCTAGATGAAGGTTTGAAGAGCGTAGGTTGATAGATCCACTAGAGTACGGCAGTATGAAAATTGAATAGAGGTCTGCGGCTGTGGAATAGTTCTAGCGACGTTTCATCACTACCTAAAGCCCCACGTTGCCAAAAGCATTTCCAGTCGATGGTGTATTATAATGTGACAGTATATGTGACAGTATATGAGAGAGTATATGAGCAAGTCAAACGCGCACTCTTTTGCCTGTAGACTTGAAGAAATACTTAAAGTCTCCTCATCCATTCATGTATGAGCTAGGTAAAGAAGTGTGCGTTTGACTAGTACTGTCGCATTAATGGCCCTTCGCTCATTTTTAACTTCTATTCAATTTTTATACTGCCGTACTCTAGTGGATCTATCAACCTACTCCCTTCAGACCTTTCTCTAGCTGATACTTTATCACATTAAAGCATTTCCAACCAACTCTGAAAATCGTGAATTTCACGTATG